ACTACAGAAGAATTATAAATACATTCAAAGAGAGCTAAAAGTTGGTACGTTAGTGGGCCCCAGAGTGTCCAGATTAGGCGATTTCGCGCCAATTTGGCGATTTTTTTTAGATATTTTTTCCAATTATAAAAATATACAAAACTTTGTTTTCCACTAATAATTTTACAGAAGAGGCTAATGAACTGCGTGATAAACTTAAGAAGCATATTAAAAGACTGCTAAAAATGTTTAGTCACCCTAATCGAAGAACTTTTCGAACATTACCTAGTCAATTAAATACTTTTAAAAAAGCTTTGATTTTGTCACCATAAAAGTGTGTGAATCACAAGAGGGCTAGTTTCAGCGACCTGCCAATTCACTATTTGACTTTGAAGGAAAGAAAAGCAGCAGAAACTGAATATTTAAATCTTTTCACTTTCCCATGGAATAACTTTTCTCAGAACACTCCATCCGACTCTAAAGAATTTTGGATAATTGCTTACGGAGTGAAAACCGCAAAAGGCAGTAAAATGTTTGGAAATATAAGTAAATTCATATTATTATCCTTGCCGCACTGACATGCTTTGTTGAGCGCGTTTTTTCCGTAAATGAATTCAATTCGAAATAGCAAGAGGGTGAAAACCTTAATTCGAATGTTCGAATAAAGTGTCATATGAAGGCTAATAGTTTCTGCTGCAAAACGTTTCCAATATTAAACAGTATGTTATCAAGTTTGAATAGCTCAATATATGACAACAGAAATGTTAATTCAGACACCAGAGGTGATTTTCAAAAATTTGTGGAAATAGCTGATCCCGCCTTATAGGTTTTTATTTAATTTTTAGCACCGAGCTCTTAACCTATAACCCTCCTTGCGACGTGTGCTGCATGAAAGATTCGATTTGTATGGGAGGTGCCACGCCTCCTTTTCAAATAACCCGAATTTTTCTTTATGAGAACTCCGTACCAAGCTCTAATATTCTACCATGAACACTTCCAGAGAATTGCAGTATGAAAAATTCGGTTTGTAAGGGAGGTGCCACGGCCCCTTTTCCAATAGCTCCAACTTTCCTACAAGAGCATGCGATTGATTTCCTATACTGCAATACCAAGTTCCAGTATTCTACCATGAACACTTTCTGATATATGCAGTATGAAAATTCGGTTTGTATGGGAGGTGCCACGCCCCGTTTTCCAATAGCTCCAATTTTGCTCCAAGAGTATGCGATTGATTTTGTATATCTCCACACCAAGTTCCAGAGCTCTACCATGAACACTTCCAGAGATATGCAGTATAAAAAATTCCGTTTGTATGGGAGGTGCCACTTCGCCTATATATATGGATTTTTTTTTAATCTATAACCATCCTTGCCATGTGTGCTGCAAGTGTCCGAAGTTTAAAAAAAAATCGGTTCAGCCGTTCTCGAGCTTTGCGAACACAAAAAAACGGCTTTCAAAATATATATTAGTATAAATTATTTTATTAATTAAAGCTTAATATGCATTTATTTCACCTTTAACCACTTTTACCATGCACGTAGTGGTGGTCCCAAGCTGTTCAGTTCTACTACAAATTCCTTTAGCCAAGTCCTGATTGTCCTGCATCAGCTGGACCAGCCGCCCAAGTTGCTTTTTATTGCTAACCAATTTTGATCTGCAATTCACGCACATATGTATACTAAATTTTTGTACAGCTTTCGATCCAAATGACTTACTTTTTATCCATTATTTATTTATTTATATCACCACAATTTTGTTCATG